GTCTTGGAGGCCATCTTGGGCATCTTAAAAGCCTCCTGGGCCGTCCTGGGGCCTCTTGGGCCGTCTTGGGTGTCCCTTGGGCCGTTCTGGGGCCATCTTGGAGGCCTCTTTGGCGATCCTTGGGCGATGTTTGGGGGCTCTTGGGCCGTCTCGGGCCGTCGGAAGGCCGAAACGAAGCAAATGTCAAAATCCTTCGAACACCTACGGAAAACAGTGTTTCTGGCCTTTTCTGGCCTTCCTGGAGGCCCTCTTGGAGGCGTCTTGGGCCGTCTTGGGCCAGCTTCGAGCCAACTTCGGCCATCTTGGTGGGCTCCTGGCCCGTCTGACGCCGTCGGAAGTCGGGGGGCCTTTCTGGGCCGACTTGGGGCCCTCTTGGGGTGCTCCAGGGCCGTCTTAGAGGCCATCTTGGGTCGTCTTGGAGGCCTCTTGGGTCGTCTTTTTGCCCTCATGGGGCCGTCTTGGGGGCCGCTTGGGCAGCCCTGAGGCCATCTTGGAGGCCTCTTGGGCGCTGTGGGGGCGATCTTGGGGGCCTCTTGGGCCGTCTTGGGTCGTCGGGAAGCTGAGAAGAAGCGAATGCGAACATCTTTCAAACACTTAAGGCAAATCAATGATTTTGGCCTCTTCGGGCCCTCCTGGACGACCTCCTGGAGGCCTCTCGGGCAATCTTGGAGGCCTCTGGCAGGCCTCTTGGGCCGTCTTGGGCCGTCTTGGACTCTCTTGTGCCGTCTCGGACGCCATCTTGGACCATCTTTGTCGGACCTTGCAGGCCATGTTGGACCATCTTGGAGACCATCTTGAGCAGTCTTGGAGGATTTTGGGGGGAATTGAGCTTCTGGAGGATCCTCCCAGGACCTCGGCGGGACGGGCCGAAGCCCCAGGGGGAGTTCTTTTGGAAAAGAAACAAAACCCAAACCGAAAGGGTCTAGCACGCCAGGCACCCCTGCGATGACTCGACAGGGGGCGGCGGATCGAGACGCCTACGGCGAATCACCGCCGCCCCCTGCCTTCGTGGAAGCGCCTATGTGGCCGAAAATTGGATTAGAGCTTGGCCAAGCTATCGAACCATGTGTTCCCCGAGTTTGTTTGGAACGCCTTCGTGGAACACGTGGTCGAGGAAGAGGAGGGTAATGAGGGCAACAGGACGGGGGGGAGGAGGCCTCTTCGGAGCCTCTTGAGGCACTCTTAGGCTCGATTGGGCCATTCTGGCGGTCTCGGAGGCATCCTGGGGCCGCCTTGGAGGCCACATTGGGGCCTCCAAGCTAGCGGATCATGTGTTCCCCGAGTCGGTTTGGAAAGCCTTCGGGGAACATTTGGGGGAGAAAGAGGAAGAGGAGGAGAAGGAGGAAAAAGGAGAAGCAGGGAGTATGCCTTTTCGGAGCCTCTTGAGGCACTCTTGGGCTCGATTGAGCCATCCTGGTACCGCCTTAGAGGCCATGTTGGGGCTATCTTGGGCTCTCTTAGAGCCTCTTGAGGGCCTCTTGGGGCCCTTTGGGGGCTTCTCGAGGGTCTCTTTGGCCGTCTTAGGGCGTTCCTGACCCGTCTGATGCCGTCGGGGGCCGTCTTGGGGGCTTCTCTGAACCGACTTGGGGCCCTCTTGGGGCGCTTCGAGGCCGTCTTGGAGGCCATCTCGGGCGTCTTGGAGGCCTCTTGGGCCGTCTTGGGACCCTCTTCGGGCCGTCTCGGAGGCCTCTCGGGCCGTCATGGGGCGTTCTTGGAGGCCTCTGGGGCGATCTTGGAGGCCTCTTGAGCCGTCTTCAGCCGTCGGAATCCCGAAAAGACGCAAATGCCCCAATCCTTCTAACACATGAGGGAACATCAATGATGTTGGCCTCTTCGGGCCCTCCTGGAGGAGCTCTTGGAGCGTCTGGGAGGCCTCCTGGGGGCCTCTTCGGCCGTCTTAGGCCATCTTGAGGCTATCTTAGGCCGTCTTGGGTGCATCTTGGGCCGTCTTGGAGGCATATTGGGACCATCTTAGCCGTCTTGGAAGCCATATTGGGCCATCTTGGGGCCGTCTGGGGCAGGAAAACCGTTTGCAACCGAGTCTTCCGGGTGGCCAGCGGGACGCTCCCCAAGGGGAGTTCTTTTGGAAACGAACCAAAACCAAAACCGAGAGGATTTGGCACGCCAGGCATCCCTGCGATGAATCGACATAGGGCGGCGGATCGAAGACGCCTACGGCGAATCACCGCCGCCCCCTGACTTTGTGGAAGCGCCTATGTGGCCGAACGTTGAGGCCAAACCTCAAACTTGCCAAGCTATCGGACCATATGTTCCCCGAGTTGGTTTGGACAACCTTCGGGGAACACGTGGGCATCTTGAAGGTCATCTTGGCCGCCAGGATGCAATTTTGACTCTTTCGGGCCTTCTTGGAGGACGTCCTGGAGGGCTCGTGGGCTGTCTTGGAGGCCATCTTGAGCGTCTTGAAAGCCTCTTGAGCCGTCTTGGGGGCCTCTTGGGGCCGTCTTGGGCGCCTCTGGGGCCGTACTGGGGCCATCTTGGAGGCCTTTTGGGCGATCCTTGGGCGATCTTTGGGAGCTCTTGGGCCGTATCGGGCCGTCGGAAGGCCGAAACGAAGCAAATGTCAAAATCCTTCAAAAACCTTGGCCTCGTCGGGGGGCCTTTTGGGCCGTCTTAGACCATATTGAGGCCATCTTGGGCCGTCTTGGATGCATCTTGGGGCCATCTTAGCCGTCAGGCCGTCTTGGCTGTCTTGGAGGCATCTTGCAGGCCATCTTTGTCATTTTTTGAGGATGTCCAGAGCGACACGGCCGTTTTTGGCGACGACGGAGCGATTTTCCGGGTGGCTGGCGGGACGCGCCGAAGCCCCAGGGGGAGTTCTTTAGGGAAAAAAGCCAAAACCCAAACCCATGTAATTTGGCACGCCAGGCACCCTTGCGATGAATCGACAGGGGGCGGCGGATCCTAGTGGCCTTCGGCCCATCCCGCCACCGTGTCTGGATTGTGGGTCTGAGGCTTCGTGTACATGTGTTGGGGTGTCGTGGGGGGAGCCTCTCGGGGGCCTCTTGGAGGCGGTTTCGGCGCCTCTTGGGGGCCTCTCGGGGCCTCGTGGGGTATCTTTTGGGCCTCTTGGAAGCCTCTTTGGCGCGTCTTGGGCGCCTCTTGGGGCCTCTTGGGGTCTCCTGGGGGCTTGTCGGGGCTTCCCTGAGCGCTTCTTTGGCCATCTTGGAGCCCTCTCTGGCAGTCTTCGGGCCTTCTTGGAGGCGTCTTGGGCTGTCTTGGGGCGGTCTTGGGAGCTTTTTGAGCCATCTTGGAGCAAAGCTGAAAATGCGAGAACCCCACTCCTTTAAAAACCTTTGTGAAGTCGACGATGTTGGCCTCTTGGGGCTCTTTCGGGAGGCCTCTTGGAGCGCCCTGGGGGCCTCTCGGGGCCCTCTTAGGCCGTCTTGGAACCATCTTCGGGCGCCTTTGAGCACTCTCGGCCTCGGCAATACGAATATAGCGTAGTTTGCTAGGGCTTATGGCCACGTGGGCGCGAATACCCGAATATGGAATACATTACGAGGGTTTGTCGTCTCGAGGACGCAAGAGTTTAGCAATTTGCGAGGGTTTGTGGCTTCGGGGGCAAGAATTTGGCATGATGTACGAGGGATAATGTTTTCGGGGACACGACTCTTGAGCAATTTGCAAGGGCTTGTGGCCTCGGGGACGCGAATGTGGTATTATTTAAAATGGATTATGGACGCGGATATTGTAATTTACGGGGGTGTGGTGCCTCGGGGACGCAACACTTAGCAATTTAGAGAAATTGTTTGTTGCCTCGGGGGCGCAAAACTTGAGTAATTTGTGATGGCAAATGGCCTCGGGGGCGGAAGAATTTTGTAATTTACGAGGGTTGCTGGCCTCGGGGACGCGAACATTGTATAGTTTACAAGGGATCATTGCCTCGAGGGCGCAGTTGTTGTGTAATTTACAGGGGATCGTGGCCCCAGGGGCGCGAACGTATTGCAATTCACGCAGTCTTGTATCATAGCCTACTGACAGTACGCTAGGTTGCTTATCAGTCGCGTCGTTCACTCCACCGGCCTAGACTATTCCATCGCGGGCGTTTGCCCGCGTGCTTGTTGCCACTGCGGCGCTGATGGGTGGTGGTAGTTTCCTTGAAATCTTGCGTGAGCAGTCATGGGCGTCTCGGGGCAGAGGGCTCGAAATGATTGTTCGTGCCTCCCCTCCTGGGCCCCTCCTGGGCTCCCCTTGAGGCCCTCTCGGGCCGTCTTAAGAGCCTCTTTGGGGGCTCACTGTAGCATCGTTGGCACTTGAGTGCGTGCTCGCGGGGGCATTTTTGGAGCTTGGGGCCTGTTGGGGGCATCTTGAGGGCCTCTTGGGGCCTCTCAGGGGCTTCTCGAAGGTCTCTTGGTACCCTTTTGGGGGATTTCTGGCGGTGTGGGAGGCCATCTGTCGGACAAGGATTAGAGATTTCACTTAGGGTTCCTTCTCTTCGGACCCTCGTGGGGGATTTGGCGGCTTCTTGAGAGGCCTCTGGCGCTTGGGGCTCTTTTGGGCCCCTGGGGGCCTCTTGACCTGAATTGTGGTGATCTTTGGGGCTGGCCGGGCCGTCTTGGGCGGTCGGAAGACTGGAAAGGCGGTGAAACCAACACCTTTCAAACAACTGAGCAAACTTTTTATGAATTCTGGGCTTGGCCTCTTGGAGCAATATTTGGCAGGCTATCTTGAAGCCTTTGGAGAGTTTATGGAGGCCATCGTGGGATATTTCACCCGTGGATCCCGACTCGAATGACCTCTTTGAGCTCCCTTGGGTTCCCTCGGGGCGCTCCTGGGGCGTTTTGGGGGGTCCTGAAGATCTCCCCTGGAAATTCTGGCATCCGTGACGCCGACCGCCCGCGGACCGCCCGGGATGATTTTCGTGCTGGGATCCCCAGGGGCCGCCACGCGTGCGCGTACTAGAACAATCGAAACCTGTTGCCGGAGATTTCAGCACGCCACTGGCCGCCCGTTGGGCTGGCGAATTTTGCTCTTCTGAGGCCGAGCAGTTGTACATCATGGTGAACGAGTTCGACCTTGCGATCAACATGTACAAGAAGCGTGAGGAATACGAGCAGATGCTCCGACTTGCCTGGGGCTCAGTCTGAATTAGTTTCGAGGCTCCTTCTCGATGTCTTCAGGGAATGAGCATACAGTGGGAGAGTCCGACCGTGCCAACCATGATTGCATCTATTTGTAATCGATGCCACAGGGACAAGACATGCAATATGTGATTGTATCTTTACGTCGACGTATGCACATTAGCTGTCAGCACGTCTAGGGAACCTATCAAGCTAGCGTGACAGGTGCATCTAATGAGAGAAACATATCGATCCAGCGTCTTAGGTGTTCCCAGGGATGCGCAAGCATTTCTACATTCGCTCCCACTTTACTTGAAATGAGTTGCGAGAGATGTAGTACAGCAGAGAAGCGGATGGATGGCACGTAGAACATTATAAGTACGATGCGCTGCTGTTCACTACCGAAGACGCTTGTGCTCACCGCCCGTCCGTTCCAGTTCTGCACGGAAGAAGCGAAGACGGCTCCAACATGAGACGAACATATTTCGAACATCGGAAAATACCCCCCCGCAGGTGTGTGCGTGTACGTGCGCGCGCGTGTATATGTGTGTGTGTATGTGTGGGTGTGTGTGTGTGTGCGCGTGTGTGTGTACGCGTGGGTGTACGCGTACCTCCCAGGTGGGAGGCGCGTCGCGCACATACTGCCCCTGCACCTCTTCGGTGCCTCCCCCGCCCCCGCTTCTCGCGTCTTACCTCCCGGGCGCGTCGTCCGTTCCTGGCCCTCCTCCTTCCTCTCCTCTCCTCCTTGCGACGTAACTCCCGGGTGAGAGGCGCGTCGCGCACATATTGCCCTTGCACCACTTCGGTGCCTCCCCCTCCCCCGCTCCTCGCGCCGTACCTCCCGGGTGGGAGGCGCGTCACCCGTTCACCGTCCCATACGCCATTTCGGTGCTCCCCCGGCACACCACGCTCGCCCGCGCGTGTGCCGCCCTGCTTAACCCCGGCTTCCGCACCCCTCGGTGCCCCCCCCTGCGGCGGTTCCACGCCGCCTCTTCCTGTTGCGGTGCTGTTCCGCCCCGCTCCTGCGGGCTACCAGGGCGCCATGCCCGCCGCCTCATGCACCCTCTTTCTGCCCAGTTGCCCTCTGGCTGCCCTGGGCGGCCACTGTCTGGGTGCCCCTCGCCTCTTCCACGTCGCTGGTGCCTGCAGCCCGCGGGCGCCTGGGACGCTCTCTTGCCTCCCGCCCTACACCCTCGGGCCACCTGGCCTCAGGCGGTCACGCTGCAGTGTCCCTTTCACTGCCCGTTGTTCGCTGCTCCCGCTCCCATACGGCTCAGTGCTGTGCGTTCTCCTCGGGACGCCGCGGTACGACGCACGCGGTGTCTCTTGTGCCCCCCCAGCCCCCGGCTGGCTGCCACTCCACGCCAACCTTGCTCCCGTGGTTCGCCACGGCCGCCCACCGCGCTCTGGCCTGGCGCGCCTGGCTGCTGCCGCCCGCCGGCTGCTCATCGTCGAAATCTTCGGCGTCTGAGCGTCCTTCCTTCTTCTCGTCGGCCTCTCCCCTCCCTCCTTCCACTCCGGCCAATTCGCTAGTTAGTGTCCCTACCTAGCTGTTATGCTGGTGCGGATTTCGCCGCCTCGCCGCTTACGAAAAGCGTGTGTGTGTGTGTGTGTGTGTGTGTGTGTGTGTGTGTGTGTGTGTGTGTGTGTGTGTGTGTGTGTGTGTGTGTGTGTGTGTGTGTGTGTGCGTGCGTGCGTGCGCGTGCGTGCGTGCGTGCGTGCGTGCGTGCGTGCGTGCGTGCGTGCGTGTGTGCGTGTGTGCGTGTGTGCGTGTGTGCGCGTGTGTGCGTGTGTGCGCGCGTGATTTTGCATTTTTTCTGCGCAGAATTTCTTCCCCATGCCATCGCCGAGTGGGCTCAGGTATGCCGTGTGGTTGATCGACGCCAGTCATCATCACCAGCGGATCAGTGCCATGGACTCTGGCTCTCTCGACCTTTGCTCCCGATCCACAACAGGATGCCAGAAGTAGCCAGAACATGGCCCAACATTATCGCCGAAGAGGGCCCCGAGAGAAGGATCCCCAAAGGGGCCAAGATTGGTCGGAAGCGACCCAGGCGTGCTTCGAGACGGCCCAAGAGCCTGCATCCTTGCGTGGGGCTGAAGCTCAGTCAGAATGCCATTGACACCAAGCCGGCATCGAGGTCGTTTTGGGCCGCGCTAGGGGACCCAAGTTGGGGCCAGAACAGTGAACACGTTGATCCCAGGGCGCGTCCAGACCGGTGCCGAAATTAGTATGCAGAATCTGCTGCAGTCAAGCCCAAAAATCGGCGACAAGAGGCGTCCAGATGATTCCCGGCGAGGCTGAAATCGATAAACCTGTTTACACCAGCTTGTAGGCGAAGTTGGGCCCAAGAGGCGTTCTGGGAGGGGGGCGGGGGGCATTTGGAGGCCAAGCAGAGGCGCCGCAGGAGCCGAAATGATGCAAAACGCGCTTGGGCAGTGCATTGGGAACCGTGTGAAATTCCAAAATTCGATGTCGTTGTGGACGCCGTTTGGAAGCCGTCTTGTGGCCCGAAAAGGGGAGGTACCGAAGCGGGCGACGGAATGGCGAAGGCCCCCGACCTTGAGCCCAGTGGGCGGGCGGATTCAAGAGGTTTAGTCCATCCCGCCGACCACCAAAAGAGGATATCCGATTTCGTATGTGTTGGTTTCCGCTTCCCGTTGCGCTGCATGCGTCTAGTTGTTGCGGATTTGTCCTCCTCTTCCTCTATGATTGTTTCCGGGTTTCTTGGGGACCTTTTGGAGGGGCTCCTGAGAGCTTTTGGGGGCCCTCTTGCTTGGGGCCCTCTTGCGCGGTCTCTGGGCCCCCTTGGGGCTCCTGAGCCATCTGGGGCTTGTCTGAGGGCCCCTCGGGTCGTCTTGGGCTTTCAGAGCCCCAGAAAAGCAATAACGCGAAAGTCATCTAAAACTCATGCAAGATCAATGACTTTTGCTTCTTGAGGCCCTCTTGTGTGCCTTACGGGGCCTTCTTGGAGAGTCTTCGGGTCCTCTTTGGGCCGTCTTGAGGCCATCTTGAGTTTCCTGAGGCCTCTGGCGTGTTGAGCCTTCCTTGAGCCATCTTAAAATGCACCTTGGGCATCTTGGAGGCCGACGGGCTCGTCGCCCCCCCCCTCCTCGGCGCCCCCGTTTCCCTCAAACTGCATTTTGAACTCCTGGGTTCGGATGCAACTCCTGTGAGGTCAAATTCTGACTTTGCCCTGGTCCGAAGTCCAGCTTAATCCCGTTTAGTCGGGACTAATCCGGCTTAGTCCCGCTCAATCACGCTTGCTCCGCGGCCCAATCTGGCGTAACAGCCCGCCGATGTGATTTAATTATCCCAAATCCTTTCGACGAAGACCTCCCAGTAGTTGCCTCCTAACCTGGGGAGGGGGAAATGGGGGAGGAGGGACAGCCAATAATCTGATAAGCTTGTTCAATCTCAGCAAGCGGCGGTTGTCAGTGGATTCCGGGGAAGTAGTTTGGCGTGCTTGTGTGTGTGTGGGTGGGTGTGCGGGTATGTTCCGCTTTTCGGCGTTTTCCTAACACAGTTGGGCCACCACGCAGCCGCACTGTCTTCCGGCCGTCGCTGCTGGCATATTTTGCGATGCTTGTGCATGTGGCTGTCGTGGACGCCTTCTTTTCTGCGTGTGTCAACCGCCTGTTGGTTGCCACCCATCGGCGCACGCTCGGTGGTAATCCGCTTAGCATATCCCGAGCCGCTAATGCTCTCGCCGAGGTGGACCAATCGGCCGCGAAGTAAGCAATTGTGTGTGTATGTGGCCGAGCAGGTTTACTGCGAACAGTTGATTGCGACCAAGTTGCCAAGCCAAGGTGTCAAAGTACCGAAAAGAGCTCCTGGACGACACGTACAAGCACATTGCCGAGTCGTTCGAGATGAAGGGGAATTTGAAAAAAGCTGAGCACTACTATGTGGAGGCGAAGATGTGGCAGAGCGCGATGTCGATGTACCGGCAGCTGGAGACTAGCCATCCCGCCACCGTGCTTGTTGACTCCCGTCGCGCGTGCACGGGTGCGCTGTCCTGTGCTTTTGGACACTCTTTGCTTGCCGTTTGAGGGACGGGATGCTCGGGAGCACGCTGAGTGTAGCATGAAGAGATCCTGGAGTTTCTTTCGCAGCTTTCGGGCTCCGGGGCCCCCCGCCAGGCCCCGTGACCGTCAAAAATGATTCGAGATGGGAAGCCAGTTCCAGGCAAAGCCCCAGGGTCCGGGACCAGTTTCCACCAGGACCGCTTCCCATGCCAAGCCGAGCAGACGTATAGGATTTGGTGCGCGTGCGTGCGTTGTCTCTCTCGTCGCAGTGCTTGCCAGGGAGGGCTCCGAGGTTCCCAAAAGGGTGTGCACTTGATGTGATCTGGGTCGGGTCAGGGGTGCTCTCGCGACTTCGGAGTTTGCAGGGCGACGGACACCTGGTGGCACGGTGACCCCTCGTCTCAGAGTCTCTGCATCGGGGCGTGCTGCCGTGTGGCCTCCAGGAAGCACACCGAGCGGGGAATGGGAGTGAGCGCAGCGTGTGTGGTCGATACCACGCTTCTCTTCTCTATCGGGAAGTTGGATACACGTGACGGGGCTGGCCTGGGCGAGAGTCGGGTGCGCACGTGGCCGCCTCACTTCGCAGCGCTTCGCCTCGTGCGGATGGGTACCATGGTCGTGAAGTGCCCAGCAAGTGGTCTACGCATGTTCCGCACGGGGGATCCAAAGGTGTGCGATTTCAGCCTCGGGCCGTCCCCTCCCCTCCCAGTCTAAGCTCAGTGCTTTCCTTCCCCATCTAACACCCCAAGATCACAACACAGGGGTGCTAGTATATGGCATACGCGTCCCGAGGAGAAGTGGGAGGACGCGAAGCGTGTAGCCAAGCTCCACGGCGGCAAGTCCTCTTTCGAGAAGGTGGCGCACCGTCTGCTCCGACGCGTTCAACTCCTGCCTCTGCCGCGTTGAAAGCAGGACATGTGGAGGACTTGTGTGCAACCGTGCTCGTCGTGGAATGCACTCGCCTCTTGTCGTAGGTGTTCCTGCAGGAGGCAATTAACGTCCTGCACGTCATGCGATAGCCACAGTGGTGGAAGTATCAGCTGTTCGGCTGCGTGCATGTGCATGTGTGTATGTGCTTGTGTATTTGCGTGTGTGTGTGTGTGTGTCTGTGTGTGTGTGTCCGCAGCCTTTGCCTCAAGCCACGCGTGTTCGAGAGCAGTCGTACAATCAGCGCTTTGGGCAAGCCTCTCCAGGTAAAGCATGTCGTCGGCCGCCGTGCACCAGCTGTCGCACAAGTCGACGCCACAGCTCGTTGACGCCCAAGGAGGCGCAACTGGCCAATCTGGCGGCGGCGACGCCGGTGTAGCCGCTTCGAGCAACGCTGACCCGTTCATGATGGGTGATCAGGGGCAACTTTAGGGGGGATAGGCTCAGGGAGGATGCATCGACCCCCAATCGCCCACTCATCTCTGACAGGGGCCCGCTAGCCCGCTCCTCCCAGGACCGTGCGGATTCCCCGATACACCGATCTATCGGCGATGTGTCTCCAATTCGGTGCCGATGTCACCACCCCTGGGCCAGGCCCCCCCCCCCTCACGTTGCCGCTCAGGTGAGCAGACGTCGATCCCGGCGGCGAGCCCAACCGAGGCTCCATACCCGGGCGGCACCGAGGCCCCTCGCCCGCTCGACGCTGTGGGGCCGTGCGGCGACGGGCCAGCGGGGGACTCGAAGGCGTCGGCTCCGGCCGGCCCCTCCGTCCTGGCCTCGGCGTGGGGCAATCAGGCCAGCAGGGCGACCCTGCGGGCCAGCGGGTCGCTGGCCAGCTCCCTGGAGGACGACGACGACGAGGCGCTGGAGAACCAGCCTTGGTGCTGGGCGTGCAAGCAGCACTGCGGCAAGGGCAAGGGCGGCTGGTGCTACTGGCTGTTTGTTCTCTCGTTTCTGTCCACGCTGTTCCTGTTTCCTCTTTTCCTGAAGTGGATGATAACCGTGCCCATGCCGCTGGAGTATTGGAACCAGCTCTTCCCGGAGTTCCCCGTGCTGTCAGACCAGACGTTCGTTCAGGAACGCAAAGGGGCTGGCTACAGCGTGGACCTTTCCCCCATCCCAACCACGTGGAGCGGCTGCAATCACACTTGTGGCGCGGCGGGCGGGTTCCTTCAGACAAGTGAGATGAATTTCCAAGTCGACATGACCCTTGAGGCCCAGGGCTACGACCACACTGTGTACCCAGTGCTTTTCGCGTCTAACGACTTCCAGAAGTGGTGGTTGGCTGCCGACAGACGGCACGCGGAGCCCCAGCCCTACTTCGGGGGCGTCTCCTCGGAGGACGTGGGGCACAGGTATGTGACGGACGAGTGCACTCACCCACATCACCTGGATGACGCGACGACAACCAGCGGGACTGTTTCAGCACCGGCCATGGACACGTATGCGACTAGCCCTACCTACGTGCTGGTCTGTGTGGCTTGGGACGTCGAAAAGCTGCGCCTCCACGAGGATGCGGAGGATGCCGCGAACTACGACCTCACCAAGGAGGACCTGGCCACGATGTGCGACGCAGTCGGTGGCGTTGCCGGGTGGCCATGCGGCAAGAACCCAGGCGCTGCTCCGTTGCCTGGCGTGGGTGCTGACGGGGTGATCCAGGTGAGTACCGACAGTGCCGACGGTGCTCGGGTGGCAGGCGTCCTTGTGAACAACTCCCGCTTCGAAGGCGCAGCTTTCATCCATGCCTGCCTCAGCTCCCCAGACCACCCGGAGTGCGTTGCCTCCACTCTCAGAATGTCGGATTGGCCGTGCCAGCAGTGTGTGGACGTCGTCGAGAGGCAGTGCCAGCCAGGCGCGCAGTGTCAGTTTTGTTGGGCTCGAGGAGAGGCAGAGAGCAGGGTAGGGCAGGTGATAGGGTTTTTGGAGAACAGAAAGGGGGAGGGGAGAAATAAGGTGGAGAGGCATAGAGGGGAGCAGCTCACGAGGGAGAGGGGCGGAAGGAGGGACTGCGGGCAGCGCGACCCAGGCCCAGAGTGCTTGCAGACCGACCGCAAGCCTCTTGTCACGCTCAACATGTACGACAGCTACCCGCAGCTCGAGATCCAGCTCGAGGGGATGCCGACCGAGCAGGTGCGGCGCGGAGCAGTGCCTAGGGCTTTCGTGATGACGTCCCCTCTACACTACTCGGACAAGGAAGCCTGGGGACCCTGGGGCCTGACGGACGGGGGCACCTGGAGGAAACTCTACGAACCGAGCCAGTACTACATCGACAACAACAGAGATTCAGACATGCAGCGACCCCCCCCCCGCACTTACGTCACCTACCTGGCCGAGCTGGAGGGCGACTCTGGCGAGCCCGAGTATACCGAGGATGCTGGATCCGAGAGCAGGCGTCTGGCGGCGTCCGCGGGCGAGGTGATGGGCGAGCTCGCGGGGTCGCTGGCCCAGTCCTCCCGCAGGCTCAGCAGAACCGACCCTTCGACCCGCGATGACGAGGAGGAGGAGGAGGCAATGAGCGACCAGCCTGAGGACACGACTCCCTACGTCCCCGAGGTCGACAAGGCCCGCAACAAGATGGAGTTCTACCAGCGCAACCGCGTCTCGCTCCAGCCGAGCTGGTGCTTCGGTGAGCGAGGGCCCCTCTACCTTGTTGCCTGCGCCGCGAACGAGAGTACCTTCGCGGGGGGCTTTTCGCTCGGCGAGGGTCAGGAGATCGCGCCCCCGCCGTTCAACGATCGCTGCCTGGCTGTGTCTGGCCGCTGTGCCTACGCGTGCATGGAGCAGCAGACGCCAGGCATCAAGTACTGCGATGCGAGCGGCAGGATACAGGCGGGGAAGCTCACCGATAACTTCGAGGCCCCATCTAATAGCGGCGTGGCGGTGAACATCTTCATATGGATGCTCCTCTTCGGCTTCGCCGTCAAGATGGTAACCTTTTTCCCTGGACTGTTCGTCCCGTACAAGGCCGCGAGGTTCTACGAGCAGCAGCAGACGGAGCAGTTCAAGTACATCTCAGTGGTCTGCCCGACCAGCAGCGAGACGAAAGCATGCGTGCTGCGAAATCTCGTCGGCTCCATCTCCAGCAGGCCTAGCAGTTGCCGCTGTCCCTTCAACGTGGTGGTCCTGGACGAGGGGCACCGCCATCCGCAGAAGGTGATGTTCCGGGCGTTCGCCGAGGTGTTGGACAAGATCCCGGACGCGAAGTTCGGAAGCGGCAAGGGGTCCCGGTCTTCGAGGGACTTGGCCTCGAAGGAGAGCCACAAAGAGAAGAACGTGAGGGCTTTTGCGAAGGAGTGGGTAGATCTGACCAGGAATTGCAAGCTGGACGACTGTAACACCGAGGAGATCGCCAAGATAATCAAAGGGCTGTCGTCGGCAGACGACAGCGATGGTGAAATCAAGAAGCTCAACGGAAAGCTTGACAATCTCTGCGGCAAGAAAGCGCTACAGGTTCTGCAGGAGCGAAGCGGCTGGCCCAAGTGCAAGGACAGCAGCGGGGCCGTTAATCCTGAGATCGAGCAGTTGGAGGCTGCGATCGTTCAGCTGCGCAGAGAGCTAGTTGTGGGAGAGAAGACCTTCGACACCTGCTACGAGAACGCGAAGCCAGTGCACCTGGATGACTGTGAGGCCCGTGCCTGGGTGCCGAAAGCGACGTCGGATAACAAGATGCCCAATCCTCTGTACATCTTGCACTACGTCGCGCGCGCGAAGCCGGACGAGGACGACGACGGGGGTGAGTGCAACGCTCGAGCGAGCCCCGGGGTAGAAGCGCAAACTGGCCTCGACGCGAATGTATCCCCCTGGGAGTAGCTGTGCCGTTGCTTGTGCATTTACCCCAGAGCTCGGGCGTCGCACCCACCCCGTCAATCGCCGGGCGAGGACGAGCGGACACTCAAGACGCAGCACGTCGCCCGCGGCTGCTGGTACTACAAGGTGCCCATGGACGACGAGAAGAGGGGCCAGAAGAGCTGGCTCGACTGGCGCAGGGGCGCCAGAGAGTACGAGGACGGAGACTTCGACGCCAACAGGTACTCAGGGCATGAAAAGTGCCGATGCCGCTGCTCGTCCTGGAGAGTCCTCGTCACCACGGCTGGATTCTCCTCGAAATTCAAGTGAGAACGCACCCCAGGAGAGGTCCATATAATAGTGGCATCCGTACGTCTTTGCTCCCTCAGGTACATTGTACCCGTCAGCACAAGCCGCGGCAAAGCGGGGGGCCTCAACTTTGTGGAGAACTACCTCTTCCATTACTACCTGAAAGTCGAGGAGCGGAACCCTGTCCTGGACGATGCGACGGGCGAGGTCAAGATGCAGATCAGACCGTCTTTGCTCAGCATCGCCGACGCGCGCCACCAGTACCAGCCGAACTTCTTTCACGAGACGCTGCCCTTCTTCTTCCTCAAGGGGCAGGCGCAGGTCAACCCCTGGGTGGCCTTCACCCAGAGCCCCCCCTTCTTCCCTGAGCAGGAAGACGAGCAGGATTACCTGGACTCGAACAACTCGAACTTCTTCCGCCTGCACTGCATGTTGCGGAATTGTTGTGGCGGGGTCAGCTCCAAGGGCACGAACGGCACCTGGCTTATCAAAGACCGCCGGATGGGCGTCAAGGGCACCAGCAGCATTTGGGACATGACTTCGAAGAAGAAGACGCGCGGGAACTTCCACGAGCTGGTGGAACATCGGTTCTTCCGCGAGAGCTGCAAGGTTGAGGATCTAGCCACGAGCTTGGACGTGATGGTCCAGGGCAAGCACTCGCAGTACATCAACAGGCGCCTGTCTTACGGGATGGCGAAGGACCCCATCCATTATCTCGCAGGGGTGCAGCGCCAGACCGAGGGCGGCGTCGTTCTGGCGCTTCAGACGTTCTTCCGCAAGAAGGAGGGGACGCTTCAGGTTTGGATGGCTTTCTGCGTATTCGCGCTTTTTGTTGCCTCGCTGGCCAATCTCATGTATGGCCAGGGTACGCGCGGCTTCATTCGGACGCTTGGAGGCGAGACCGGGCTCGAGGGTGCCCTCGACCTCGCGAGGGGCCAGGCAGACTGGCTGATCCAGCAAGGCCTGGCTGCGTCCACTGAGCAAGAGGCCTGGATGGTCGTCCTATTGGACACGCAGGTTTGGGTCGCGCTGGCGCTGGGCTTCCTGCTGCTGCTGGTGCTGGCTAGCAGCCTCTCCTACGTCTTGCACCACTGCACCTGCGGGGGCAAACGCCGCAGGGTCCGCCGTACGCGCTTCCCCACCAGCATGGCGCAGTGGGCGCGGTTGCTGATCCTACTCGACAGCTTGACGTACTATCTGTGGTTCTGGACGGCCTTCTTCTGGATCGGTTTCAACTACTACACGGTCTTTCAGCAACGAACGTACCACTTCAAGGCAACGCCCATGACATGCTTTTCCTGGGCCCTGCAGTTCCTCAGTTGGGCGATGGTCATCTTCGCGACAGCGCGCTACCGGATGGACCAGAGCATGCAGGCCAACGAGGTTTTCTTCTTGAGCCTCACCAATTTGTGGCGCACCACACAGCTGTTCTACATCACCGCCCCGCTGACGCTGTTCTCCATCGCCACTGGCTGTGGCGAGTTCTCCCGGCACAGGATGCTGGGCGTTGACATTACCTATTGGGCGGCAGGGGATCGCGGCTCCATCTCCACCACCATTACGAAATGGTGGACTTTCTTGCTGATGCTCGGTGCGATTGTAGTGAACATCATGTACTGGTTCGATCTGCTGACCTTTATGGACCCCATCTCCGTGCTTATCGTGAGCGTTATTGGGCTCGATGTGGTACACATCTGCGCATTCCTGTGGCTGGGCAACAAGAAAGAACCTCTGCCGAAACCACCAGCTTCCTCGTTGCCCAATTGGCAGTGGTGCATTGCACGGTTCTTCCAGCTGCTCTTCAGCGGAAGTTTCTACCGCAACTCGCTGAGAGGCCTGGTGTTCAGCTCGAATTTCGTGCTGCTGCTGCAGTGGGTGGGCCCCCTGCAGCATGTGGTCTTCCCTCTCCTTATCCCCTTCAGGCCCGAGCTGGGCGTCAACCAGGCTCTCCTGCTCTTGATTGCAGGCAAGTGAGATTGTAGTTCAGAGATGAGACAAGGGCATGCGCATAATTTTCGGAGCTCTTCGCGGGTTTCTTGGATCTGCGCTAGGCCCTTGTGGCAGTGCCTCCGGCAACGCCCTTGGTACGCTCCGCGTGCCAGGGGGGGTGGGGGTCCAGCGCAGATCTAAGAAATCCCCGCCGAACTCCGACCGTTTATGTTTCTGATTTGTTTGTCCCTCTCGAAGTGGACACAGACTGTGGTGTTCACGCTGCCCATGCCAGCGCGAACACCGCTAGGACAGATTTTGCGGAAGCGAGTGCAAAGGGGCACCGTATCTAGCGGCTTTTCGGCCCATCCCGCTATTGTGATTGGGTCGTTGGCCAGAGGTCTTTTGGACTGGCGGTCCTTGGTGGACCTCTATGGAAGCATCTTCGGGGCCCTTTGTAGCCTCATGCACGCGTTTTGGGAGCGTTTGATGGCCTCCCTCTTGCGGGCGTCTTGGGGGCATGCTGGCGGACTCTGGGCCATCTTGGGGAGAGGGCCCCTGAGGTATCTTCGAGCTTCCCCTTTCGGGCCCCTCTTGGAGTCCTATTGGCCGCGTCTCTGGCACCTCCTGGGAGCTCGGAGGCCGTCTTGGGGCAACCTTGGAAGCCTCTCGGGCCTTCTTGGATGATCTTACGCCAAAGAAGATCAGATTCGTGAAATCACGCCAACCCCGAAGATGTTCAATGATTTTGGTATCTGGGGTTGGCACGCAAGGCCTTCAGTATGGCCCGAGAGGGCCCTCAAGAGGGCCCCAGGGCTAGCCCCGAGGCCATGTCTGCGCATGTTGGGGGTTTGGCTGCCCAACAGCGCCTCCGAGGCTTCAGGACAAGTCATGCGTGGAGTCGCGAGAGCGCGCGGGAGCGCCATGGAACCCGTGATTTGGGGTCTGGGGCTCGGAAGAAGCATTTGCAGTATTCAACATTGAAGACGGATGAGGACCTGAGGACGCTTCACTCAGTGCCTGCGGCACGGCGGCGGGTCTTCCTGGTTGAGATCCAACAGTGATTTCATCGTGCTGATTGAATTCGGTTGACTTTCGTGCACTTTGAGACCGGCTCCGAGCTCATCAACGAACGTGGCTTTGGTTTTCCCATTGCAATTTCGGCAGTACAAAGTTGCCGATGCGGTCTCCCGACGCCTAGACGCACGTCGCGCGATCAGAACGAGCGCAGGAAAAATGATGTGGGCTCTGGGATCGCACCCAGAGGATAGCTCGGCCTCTAGGAAGAGGGAAGGAGGAGGATGAGGAGGATAAGGAGGAGCACCAGTGTAAACCCAAGACGCGTAAACGATGTTGCAATAAATCCTGCCTCAAAAGTTCCCCCTTCAAAGGTGCCAGCAATAATGTAATTTCATTGTGGAAAGTGCTCACCGTCTCAGACTCTTTCAGCGTGCCACAACACCGTTCGTGGGACTTCGATGCCGCGAATTAACTTTATTGTTGCGTCTTGGCGGTCATGGACCATTGCAGAACATGTCTGGGACCAGCACACCGCAGATCAACGTTACTGTTGCGTTTTGATATTCGCAACTAGTGCCAGAACACCTCTCGTGGATGTTGCAAACTTTCAAGACGGATGTGCGCGGCGCTAAGGCGAGGACAACATTTTGAAAACCACCCGCCCTCCATCCGTGACGTTGTTTCAAGCTTTCACGACACATGTGCGCGGCGCCAAGGCGAGAGCCACGTTTTGAAAACCACCCGCCTTCCATCCGTATAGCTGTTGTGAACTTTTAAGACGAATGTGCGCGGCTCTAAGACGAGAGCTCCATGTTGAAAACCACCTGCCCTCCATCCGCGAAACGGTTGAACATTTTAAGACGAATGCTCGCGGTGCTAATGGGGCGAGGGCTACATTTTTAGACCAACCGCCCTCCATTCGTGAAGCAGTTTCAAACTTGATGTCGAATGTGCCCAGCGCTAGGGCGAAAGCCACATCTTGAAAACCACCCTCTCTTCATCAGTGAAGCTGTTGCAAACTTTTGAGATGTAAGTGCGTGGCGCTAGGGCGAGAGCCACATTTTGAAAACCACCCGCCCGCGCCATGCAATGGGCAGCACTCCGTATCACCCGCGCGCGCACGGGTCCATCCACCCCTGGCCAATCAGCGTGGCATCGGGGGAGGACGAGGCAGCGGATGAGGAGGCGTGGGAGGTGGAGGAAGCGAACGAGGAGGATCAGGAACAAGAACAGGAAGAGGAGGATGAGGAGGCGCTGACTGCAGTGAGAGATGCCCGGCAGGAGCGTGGTTTAATGAGGTGAGGACTTGGGCTACAATCTGGCTGATGGCTGAGGTGAACGACACATTTTCGTGTCATCTGTGTTCGTGCACATGCACTTCCAGGCAGAAGTTAGACACGCATGCTGTTTTAGTGCATGGTGTGCGGCGCCGCACTCGTGATCTCATCGATACAACACCTTGTCCGGCATTGTCAGGCGTCTATGCAGCTTTTCCACGCTCGCGTACGAGTGATTGCCCATGTGGAAGAAAAGTATGAAACAGGACGTTCTGTAGTCATGACCACCTGCAGTACTTTACTGAATGTTGAAAGGCTGCCCACTGACCCAGGAAACGTCTGCGGCCCGCCTGCGACAGAAGTCTTTCCCCTCTTGTTTCCCTCTCTCTCTGGTGAGCTAGGGGCGCTGATGCAGCAACGGTGTCCTCTTTAAGGAGGGTCGATGCACGAACTGTCCTTTTCATTGTGGCTCCGCTGTGCATGTGTCCCCCCACGCGCGCACGTTCCAAGCTGCTCTGGAAACAAACGAGGAGGAGGAGTAGGAGTAGGAGTAGAAACCAGTGGCGAGCCAGTACCGATGATGACCACATTAAAGAGAAACCCTCGCTACCGCCTTGCTTGGTCGGCTTTGCTCAGGACTTTGGGAGTGAACTTTTCTTTATGCGATCTAGGTATTCACGCCCCGTACGTGTGGAGGGCGAACATGGTCTGCCTAGGGACCGCAGTTGCTTGTCAGCGGTCTATCCGCAATGCCCACAACACCAATCCTCAAATGGGTATGATAGTTGAGGAGGTGTGATGAGTGCAGCCAGCCCCCCGCGACATGGATTCCAGCACCCTTCCCCGATGGAGAGTTGTAGATTCTGTGTGTTGAACTGTTTGACACGCGTGCGTGCAGCGCCGGCGCTTGGGCTCGAGCTAAAAGTGTGCGGCTCCCTCCCACGGCAGTGGCATCGGGTGGGGGCGGCGATAGCGGCTGTCGGCACTATCGATCGAGTTCGAGCTGGTGACGAACCCCAGTGTCCGAGGGAGACGCTCGGGGATAAGTTCTGACGAGAACGAGGTTGGTAGCGGAGCTAGTGGTTGGCCCCACTGACTCCAGAGACGACGAGCGGGACTAGCCATCCCATCGAGTGACGTGTGTGGCCATGGCAAGTGACTACAACAACGCGGTGGATCCCAAGGTACCGGTGCTGAAGGGCGAGACGCTGAAGGATTTCACCCGGTACAAGCGTGCTGTGCAGGCCGCGGAGCTGAGCTGTGAGAGCGCAGAGCAGAAGAGAGCGCTCGGACCGAAGCTGTACCGCAACCTGCTGGGCGCGGACAACTCGATCAGTGTGCTGATCGAGCAGTCGGATCCTGTAGACTACGCGACTGAGGACGGCGCTCGAGTGCTGCTGAAGTACTTAGAGGACCAGCGCTTCGCCAAGAGTAGCTTCAGGGAGCTGCCGAAGGCGTTCGATCAGTTCTTCGACCAGACGCACTTCGAGCGCAAGGGTGAAGAACCTATGGCAGCGTTCTGCACGGCGATGGAGGTAGCGAAGCGGAACCTCGAGGAGGTCGACCCGGACACGAAGATAAGTTCCAACGAGCTGGGCTACCACACGCTGAAGCGCAGCGGCTTGGACAAGGACGAGCGCAACTTAGTGATCGCCCGGGCGGAGGAGACGTTCGATTTCCAGAAGATCAGCACGACCTTGAAGAATCTCTTCCCCCGTGGCGGAGGCAAGCACCGAGAACGACAGGCTCGCGCCGGTTGGCGCTGGGCGAACTACGCGGACGGTGATCCCACCGCGGACGAAGACGACACGTTCGACGAGTACTGGGTCCAGGACGACGACGGGTACTGGTACGAGTGGGACGAGGAGCGCGGCATCTACGCGGCCCTCGAGGACGACGACGACGAGTGGGACAACAGCGACCTGTTCTACATCGAGGACGGCGCGGACGCGTACCTCGCGAATGAGGACGACGACTACCACCAGGCCCTCGTCACGCTGCGCGAGAGCCGCTTCAAGATGAATAAGATCAGGGCGGCGCGCGGCTTCTTCAAAGGCAAGATCGACGGAGTCGTGGACGAGAGTGCGGCGGCCGGCGGCAAGGCGGCCGGAAAGGGAAGCAAAGGTGGCGGCAAAGGCAAGGACAAAGGGAAGTCAAAGGATAAGAAGTGCGGCAACTGTGGCAGGATGGATCACGCTACGCAGGACTGCACGACGCCAAGAGCTTCTGGCCGACCGGCGAGCAAGGGCTTCAAGGGCCGCGGCAAGACGAGCAAGGCAGGACGTCCACGACGGCTGGGCTTCTGGGCCATGACGACGCTGGTGTGCGTCATGCCGGACCTGTTCAGCAACGGGGGCGTCGAGAGCCAGGAGGTCGCGACGGTGAAGGTCGAGGAGTCCACCGAGCGCGACATCATGATGACTGACACCGAGAGCGACTACCACCTGCCCGACGTTCCCGAGGTCGACGTGATGATCTCGAGCGAGATCGTCTCGGCCTCCCTGCTGGACAGCGGGGCCACTGTGGCGGTGGCCGGGCGCGGCTGGCTGGACAAGCAGAAGACGGAGCTGGCGAAGTACGGCCTCGAGCCGATCATCGTGGACGCCGTCCAGAAGTTCAAGGGACTCGGCGGCGCACGACGCGAGGCCAAGAAGAAGTGGATCATGCCGATCGGGATCGGCAAGGTGCACGTGATCCAGGAGTACTTCGAGATCCCTGGCGACATGATCGGCCTGACGAGCAAGAAGA